CTTCAACAGACATCTACGGCCAAAGGCTGTGAGGAAAAAGGAACAAGAGAACAGGCTAGACCCGTTAGCCCATCAATACGATCAAGAGGACGTGCATGAAAACGTCTCTGCAGATGCTTTACTTTCACAGACGGCTATGTTAGCGCTGCGCAGAGCTACAGCTACGTCGTTGCATTGGTTTGTCAGTGAAATGAAAAGAATTACAGACGTAAACTATTTGTTTCTCGTTTCCTTGGAACAAGGAAGGTTACGAGACTACGAGCTGTAGGACGCACGTCTGCTGAATGAAGGCAACGTGCAGCTATTTATGGTCCATTTAAGTCTTTTTCTGGTAATTTGGTGTCTCATTGTTTCTCATGGCAACCCAAACAGAAATCTTATTTTCAGTCCTTGAATTTCTTTAGAATTTGTTCATGTCTTGTTGAAGTCATTTGCCTCTCATAGAAGATGATTTGTCTCCATCTGGATATTTATACTATATTTATACAAAAATAGGCGCGCTATGAGCAAGAAGAATGAAAGACAAAAGACTCAAAAATGACCACAATGCATGTACAATGAACAAATAGCATAAAATACATAGCAACTCTGCACATAAAGACCCAAAAAGAGACACGAAATTAGGAAAAATAGACTAATATGACAAAAAAGACAAAAGAAGCAAAACTGCAGAGACACAGGACAGACAAAATCATTAGAAGGAGGCAAAAAGACCCAAATAAAATACAAAAAGGGCAAAAGGTGACACAGTGTGGCAAAAAGGACTTCAAACGACAAAAGCAAGAGACACAAAATGACAAACGACACACAAAAAGAAACAGAGATGCAAAATGACCCTCAAAGAGCCAAAGAATGACCGCAGATGGACACAATAATTAAAGCAATACACAAGAACCAAAAACAAAACAGACCCAGTGTGAACTCAAACTGATCAAAAGCAATGCAAAGAGGAAGAAAAGGAAGCAGGAAATTGAGAAACAATTTGAGACACAAGATGATGATCGAGATGCAAACTGAAGAGAAAATGATGTTTAGAAATTCCTGAATAAATGTGATAAATGTGTCTGTGATATACTTCACCTCTGCTGTCAACAGAATGGAAGAAAACTTCAGTTGCTCAGAAAATCATTAAATTACAACTCCTCATACAAACGTTGGTGATTATAAAGGGGAATCTAGTAGGGGTGGGGGAAAAAATCGATACTTTGTAGCATGGTGATATTTTGTTTGCTAATAATGTAT